TTTCGACAATTGCTTAAAGTATGTAGCATAAAACATTTATGCAAATAACATGTTTACTGTGATAAGACTAGACAAAAAAAGGGTTGCAAATAATTTAAGATCAGCCACAAACCAGAATTAATATTCAAACTATCATTTATTTTGCAACGCTTTATTTTAAAATGTTGTAGTTTTGTTTTTAATTATATACCTTGCATTCTTGTGGATCCTTTCATGATTGCTCAAGGCAAATTTGCTGTTTTCCTAGCCATTGAATCTTTCAAATAATGTTTATGAGCCAATAAATAGGTGCAAATAACAATTTGACATTTTTGTTTATTTTTAAAAGGCTTGTTTATTGTCTAAAAGGGCAAGTTGACAAATCATGTGATTAAAAAAAGCACAGTGCAAAAGTTCACAGACATAAAATTCTATACATGTTCCTCTCACTATAAACCAGCATAAAGCAATTTTATATCATTCCCATAAAGTTCCCCATTGTAGTAAATCAAAGTAGCTGCACTGAGCTTAATTGATAAGATGTAATCCGTTAAATTCCCATGCTTTACTGCCATCAAAAGGAAATGATGCTGTGCCAGAAATGCTATTTGAAAAAAATATGTGCAACCTGTTAAAACATCTTCAGACCAATTAGTTGACAGCAATTCCTTTTGGATAGACATTCAGTTCTGCATCATATACTGTTTCCCAAAATGGTACAAGAACTACTTCTGTCTTTCAGACAAACAGTATGATCCTCTCATAAGGATTCCCTCCAATGGATGTTGAAGAGAAATTTTCTACACAATTGTTTCCTTAAATTCTTTTCCTAATATTTGTTAACTCAACTAGGCAAAACATTGGTATTGTTTGTATACTGTAGGAAGAATATTGTGCTGTTTTGCTGTTCCCTGTTTAAAACAGGACCAAGTAATGCTTGAATACTGTACTTCAAAAAATAAGCAACTTAAATGGAGCACAGTTCTCCTATTCAGCACACCTTAAAAGTGGTTCAGTTTGAATTGCTGATCACTACAGTATGTTTCTGATAACTGCATTTTAAAAAAAAAAAAATACAGGTAACGAGGAGATTGTCATTAAGAAAGATATCTAAATGTAAAGATTTTGTCATTGCAGTTCTAACAGAAGGCCCCTGGAATTGATATAATCTCTAGAAAATACACACACTTACACATAGAGAAGCTGACATAAAACTCACCCCCTACACAGCTTAGACCGTTTAAAAGGACTGAATTTCCATCTTCAAATACAAGAGCTTTCCCAATTTGTTAGTGCATGACTTTGCTCAGACAGACCGCAAATGAAACACCTATGGATGCATACGTAAAGGGAGTCTGGGAAAGCCCTTGAAACAGCCATTGGGAGTCTTCTGGAAGGACGACTGGTTCAACCTGTGTGAAGCACCTATTTTAAGGCTTTTCAAGCCTTGCTGTTGTGTTAGCATAGCCAAGACAGACAACGAAAGAGCTACTTGCAATCAGTCCTCCAATAACTTCTGATCTTTTTCATCTCCAGAATATTTTACTCTTACGCACTGCACTTGCCTGACCATTTAAAAAATGAATATTAAAAATTCAAATGCTTCAATATCTATGACAATTTTGCGATATCAACCTCCCTGAATTATAAACTGACCAATTTATAAAAACGTAAGTAGCTTTAACTTCATATGTTCACCAAAAACAGAAGGCTGCCAGCTAATAATACCAGGAAAATTGGGTTAATTCCTGCTATTTTTTAAAAAATAAAAGGCA